TTGTAAAGAAGCAATCATGACACTTTGCAAGTGTCCATTCATTACTACAAGCCATCCATTCTGAATCAGCGTCACCTTAAATGTGATGTGCATTTGATTTTTTTATTTTCCATTTGGCATCAAAATCAATTTTGGAGTATAGACACTCCTTGTTTAACAATTGAGCAATGCTCCTGCAGTTAGGTCATTAAGTGAGTTGGTCGCTAAGTGAGGAATGGTATACAGTATGTACATTGCAGAACATTGAGACGGTCAAAGGAAACTCCCACTCGGTGACTTTGCTATTATTTGCATAACTCTTCCATGCAGGACTGTAGTGTGGAACAAAACACAGAATCACAGTACTGTACTGTAGAAGAAGCCACCATAAGGCTGTGCTGCCACTCACATTCTGGCTCCTAACTCTGAATGCAGGTCCAAAGCCCAAACAGTCATTAAACAGGTAGACTGTTAAATGAGGAACAACTGTACAGCAACTTAGTGAAGCTTTATTTATGGACAGAATGCTTATGTCCCCTTTAAATCTGCATGTTGAAATTCTAACCCTCAACGGGACAGTATCCACAGGTAGGGTATTTGGGAGCTACTGGTATCATTAGGGTGCAGCCCCCATGGATGGGTCAGGCCCTGGAGAGAGCAGAGGGTTGCACGCTTTTCTGCCGCATGAGGATACAAGATGTCCACAGCCCCCAACATGGAAGTGTGCCCTCCCAAGAGCCCAGCTGTGATCTCAGGTCTTCCAGCCACCATGGCCAAGAGAAACACATTTCTGCTGTTCATAAGTCGCCCAACCAAGGTGCTGTGCCACTTGCCAAAGTGTGCATCTCCCCCAACCCAGCTAAGGATCCTTTTACTTTTCTTCCTGAACATTACAGAAATAAACAAGATCTGTCAAATATATATCAGGCAACTGGTACACAGGAAGAGTTAAAAAAAATAATTACCTGATGGGGCCGCACCAACATCAAAGTGAAGGAGCGTAAAGAACTATCAAGCAGTCAGTCAAAAAGAGGGAACCTAGATCTTGACTAGGGGGCCCTGAGGATGGACAGTGAGACAGAGGAGACACCAGGAAACAAGCAGATGAACCTACTGCTGCTGAGAAGTTTATTGAACAAATAAGTAATGACTCTCAAGAAAGAGGACTTCCAGAACTGCTTCAGAAAGTGGCAAGAATGATGGGAAGAGTGCATTCAAAGCGAGGGGAGGATTCTGAGGTGAGGTCATGGCAATAGGCCTCTTCCTGTAATAAGTTGGTTTAAATGGTTGAGATATTTGCTACTTCTCAGCTGAATGTCCTAGTCAGCAATCACAGTTCCTGCACACAGCTCCACTCCAGCTGCTCCATTCTTCCACCTCTCACATCTTCTGGTCTTTACTACTTGCCCCTTCCCCCTGCTCTGCATGCATACTTCCTGATCTTCCCTGGTCCCCTCTCCCAAAGGATCTACCAGCACCTCCTCCCTCTTTTCAAAGAGCTGCCCCACTGCCCGCTCTTCCTCAAGGAACTCCTGATGCCCCATATCTCAATACCAGGTCCTACAATGAGTCCCATGGTCTCTGGCTTCCACCCTGTTCTTTCATCTGTCTATATTTTGAGCACTTCACCATAATTCCTTGATTACATGATTACACTGCTTATCTATCACTGTGCATACATTTTTCAACATTCATGCTTTACAAAAATTTGTTTACACTGAAGAATACATGAGTCTTCTATTAAATTCAAAAGACTGTGATAACCCTGTACCCAGCCAGGATGCCGTGGGTTTGTGAGAAGCTTGCAGTCAGGCTCAGTGGCTGCTAGGATCCTGCTGTGTGTCCAGGGCTTTCCTCCAATTACCTCTCTGTGTCTTATTAGGCCGTAACCTTCTTGAGGACCAGGAGTCGTCTTAACCACCTCCATGCATCTCGGAGCATTTAACAAGTTCCTTGTAGCCACCAAGATGTGTACAGATGGAAACTCACTAAACTCATTGCAATGCAATTTAACTGACTGCCCAGTCTGAGGGTGCTCACCCTTTCCAGTTTGCATCTCAGGCAGGGGAGACAAAGAGGGCTGCACCTGGTGGGAAACTCATCATCTTTATGGCCCCCCAATGGTCCAGTGGTGCCCATTGGGAGGTGCCCAATGTCTTTATGGCATAGCTACCATTGGCTGTGTGGTGGTCGTGGTGATGGTTCATGGCTGACCAGTCACAAAGCCTAGGTCCCCAGAAGGGCTCTGTCCTTTGAGGAAGCCTGTACCAATAGAAAGCTCCTGGCCAAAGAGTCTGGCTTAGGCTTCACTAGAGGTCAACATGGGGCTCCATTTTGGAAGAATTTGTCATGTATAGATTTTCATCCTAAAGGAAAAGGTAACACTTTTCAAAATTACTTAGGACATATGGATAACTAATACAATACTTGGATTCAATACCCCGAGACAAAACCCTCCTACTAAAAGTTGGCTTAAATGATGACAAAGGTTGGGGACAAAGCCACATTCCTGCCAATAAAACAGCCAACAGGAGGCCTGCTGTGCTGGAGAGCTGATGCCAATGGTACCACGGTTAACTTGAATAGTGTGACTGGGGGCCAGACCCTGGGACCAGGGCTTTCCTCCAGTTACCTCGCTGGCTTCTTAGAACATCCTCCAAGGGTACCATTATTTTTCCACTCTACAGATGAGGAAAGTAAAAGTTGGAAAGATTAGAAAAACTGTAAAGCTAAGTTAGGCACTGTCACCAGTTGAAGTGAAGAAGTAAGATGCCCTTGTAACTCAGTGTCCATATGGCCAGGGTGGCATACGTCTGAACATGCGATGTGTAGATGGTGGGGTCTCCCCTGCATGTGGAACAAGTGTCCTTCACCCATCGCAGGGGCTGCCCCACCACCTGCTCCCAGCACAGGGACAGGGAGGAGTCCACATCCGGGAACCAACCCGATCCACCAGCTGCAAAGACACCACCTTGATGTACCCACGGGACACGGGACAGGCCACCTGATGGGTGCCACACCCTGGAAACCACCTGCAGGGCATGCCTCCTTCCCTGGTGTCCCTCTGTCTCTCTGTCTCATGTTACAGAGTCCACCTCCACTCAAGTTATGCAGAATAATAATGAAATCTCCTTCAGCACAGCCTGACTCACCTGAACCTTTCAGCCAGCCTGGATTTCTTCAAATGTCTTCTTTTTCTCATTATCAAAAAAGCCCACCTCGTTACCTGGGGCATTGTGTTGACACCCATGGATACAAAAGGATTTCTGTTTCTTCCCCTACTCCTATCTCCCTTGGGATTATAACCCGGCTGCTTTTATTTAAAAACAAATTCCATAAAAGGAAAATACAGGGTACAGTTGATACCCAGTATATACAGTAAAAGGACAAATGCATGACTGGATCCTAAGCTGAAGTAAAGGAAAATTTCCTGGGGAACATGCTCTTCACTTTCTCCTGTGGATATTACCAGTTGCTGAATCCATCTGTACACACGCACTTGTGTGTACACACATGCGTGCATGGGCACTTACACAGGATGAAAAGAAATGAATCCACAGGACACCAAGGAACCACATTCTGATCTGAAATTGCTCTGGAGCGAATCCACCTCTGACATCAAAACAGTTTGTGTCCGAAAGGGTCAGGGTTCAAGCATCCCACAAAATAGCAGCTTATTTAAAAACCAAATCCACTCCTTATTGCAAGTGGTGATATTTGAAGCACACACAAGTAAAACTAATTTAACCTTTGGAAAGTTCTCTCTGGAGAGAAGAGTCAAAATCCCTTTATAAGATTTTTAAGCACTGCAATTATTGACGAGGAGTATATTACTTCAGTTTTCTCTGATCAGGAAGAGAAAAAAAGAGAAAAACCCACAGGAGACATCAGCAGCTGTCAGGCTGTTTTCCAAATGCAGAAAGGGAGCTCGCAGTGGGCTTGTGCCAGTCTCCTAAGACCCAGTTAAGAAGCCTTTTTAAAATGCCTTAAAAAGCCAACTCATACATTAATCAAGTCGGGCCTCATCTATACTTACTGCAATACATCAATTACTATGTCTTTTTTTTTTTAAATAAATTCCGGTTGACAGCAGACACCTTATTAAGGCCCACTAAAATGATACAATAAGTAGAAGGCTATTAATATTGCTCTTTTCTCTCCCTGCTATTGTCTTGCTGTACTGGTCCGCAAACAAATTCAGGCTGCATTACAATTAATGCCAGTGGAACTCCTTCTAACGACTTCCAGCTTGCTAATTTTTTACGCTAATAATAAAAAAAGGCATTGCTATGCAAGAACGAGCCCCTTTTATCATGCTAGCATAGCATACCAGAGAGTGTCTGCTATTGTTCACATGAAAGACAATTAAACCCTGGGACATCAAACCTAAAAATGACAATCTGCTAACCAGCACTGAGCATTGCTGGATGCTCTCCTCTATTTTCTGAACTGGTAGAAAACAATTCTCTAATGACATTTCTGTCCTGGTCTCCCTGAACCACCCTTTGGGGGGGTGGGGGGGTGAAAGTTTAAAAGAAATATCCTTTACTGATTTATGCATCTCTGCTTAGAATTTATTAACTGTCTCGGGCCAATTTCACTTCAACACTCTGCCTGCAGGTTTCAATCCCAGACACATAAAAAGAAATGCACCAATATCTCCCACATAGTATCACACTTAAAAATAAACATGAAAAGTGTTCTTTAACATGCACACAATATAAAAGTCTAGAAGGGGAGAGAAAAATTTAATTCTGCCACTCTGCCTACTTCATTCTCTCTGGGGATCGTGGCAGTCAGAGGGCATTCAAAACATGGAGTGTAAGCCGGTGCTAATACTCTACAGGCCAGAGTCCAAAGACCAACCCCCCACTCCCAGCAGCTAAGGGTGCCTTCACCTAAATGCAAGCCCATTTACTAGGAAAACATCCCTCATTTGGCCTTTAATTATAACATTCAATGCATAAATATGCCCACTTAAAAATTCATGGATACCCTCAAAGCATTTTTCAATTTCTCACCGACACTGCGTCCATAAGCTAAGAAGAACTAACATGAATCAGGAAGTCCGAATAGCAACCTTGCCGCTGCCACCTGCTCATCGTGGGCTCTTGACCCACTGCTCTAACTCTCTCTGTTTAGATCTCTCCATCTGTAAAACAAGGGGAAAAACAGATCCTTCCTCAATGGTGACTGTAAAGGTAAAAGGGGCAGGTGAAGATAGAAGTGAAACCATTATGCATTGCAAGTAAAATAAAAATTAAATGAAGGTGTTGTTTTATCTCCTCACTGGAGTTGCACTGCAAGCTTTAGTTCTGATGGGCAGTGAGACCTGGGCTTAGCTAGACCTTACACATTTTTGGCACATTTTCAGGAAAGGAGCCAGGTACTGTCATAGGTTCCTTATATCTATTTTATGTCATCTTCACAAGCTCCTTTTGGGAGGGATGAGCATCTCCTGTGTACTAATGGGGAAACAGAGGCTCAGCGAGATTTAGCGATCTGCTTAGAAGACCCCTCATCAATGACCCGAGCTCTCGCCGCTGTCAGGGTGACTTCCGCAGTGCAGCGAGGTTAGTCAGGGCTCAGGTAGTCTGCGTGACATGCTGCCTCTCACACTCGCTGGTGCTGGGACTCTGGGCCAGTCCTTCACCCCTACTTTTTGGCATCCATAAAGCACAGACATTTCTCTCCTGAGCTTGTTTTGAGGAGCCAATAAATAAGTCCAGGTATATTACCAGTATCCCCCAGCACCGTGAGAAGCTTTAATATAGAAAAATAAAGCAGGATCACTTCTGCATCCAGCCGAGAGAAGCAACTCCTGCACTCACTCAGCAGATATATCTTGACCCCTGAGATAATCAAAGCACAAAGTTTACAGAACTATTTGTAAGATGCCAGCAGGAGACAGGCAAAGGCAGTGATCTCTGGGAGGTGAGAGACCACAAGGCAAAACAGGGTTGTCACAACATATCCTCCCTGGGACAGGCCCAGCTATGGATGGACTTGAAGCTAGCAGAGGCCATGGGCCGCCGGGGACCCAGGAGATGGAGCTTAGCGGCTCAGAGGGTAATGGCTGAGGCTTTCCGGACAATGCTGCACCACACTGACAGAGAGTCGTCTCCAAGCACTGAGGAGAAAGCTCATCAGCACAAGCGCAGGAGGAAACGACCCCAGGCTGAAGAATGAACTACTAGGGAAGGTGGAGGAGGAGCACTGGCTGGAAATGAGCCAGGATTCAGGGCCGATGGGGTGGGTGTGCAGTAAAGTCTCGACTCACTGGCAGGTCACCGTTGGCTCTGCACTAAGCCCTGCTCTGGTCCACCTAAACAAATCATAAAAGTAGGGTCCTAAAAAATCAAGTCACCTCACTGCAGCCCAGAACAGAGCTTGGGTATATTAGGAGAAATGCAACGTAGTCAACTTTCAAGAAAGGAAAAGTCTCAACATCCAGGAACCACAGGAACATAGGAGCCAAAGTGAGAAGACAAATCAGCCCATTGGCCCAGATGGCAAGGGTGAGCAGAGAGGACCTGCAAGCAGTCCCCACAGTTGCTGTGGTTCAGACACAGCTTCGGCGTGTCCCAAGAGCTTCATGGTACAGGACACTGGTCACTGTATGATGGTGCTGGGAGGCACACGGGCGCTGAAGAAGCAGCAGGTGTCAGTCCAGCAGGGGTTGGTTGGGATCGCTGGGGTACTGCATGTGAAAGGGCTAAAGGCCTACAGGAGGCTCCAGTGGGCCCTGAGTTAAGCTCCCCAAGTGGAGCTGTTATGCAGAGCACCCCGGCCCCTCACTGAGCTCTGGCTTCACGTCTGACTGTGAGATCGCCCCCTTTCTCAAAGGCACCCAATACCGCCTGCTGTGGTGTGATGATGCTGGGGTGCTCTAGTCCAAAGCAGGACCATGTTCAGCCTCTGAACTGTGTGGTGGATAAACCTTTTTCCTTTCTAAATTATCCTACCACAGGTACTTCATTACAGCATGGAAGATGGGCCAATACCTGCATCTGCTATATTCTGCAAGTAGAAGTATGAGAGATTTATAACATCAATAAAGCCCCACAAGTTCAGCACAAGAAAAGGGCAGAAAGCCACTAAGGCCTGTCATCACGCTGTTTGAAGTTACTGATAAAGACAAAAGCAGTCAAGAGAGGGGAGACTCTAACACAGAGACACTGAGGTCAGGTGACAGCAGTTTCCCATTGCCAAAGGAAGACCGTGGAGAAATGTACATAAACTGAGGAGAACAAAATGGCCAACGGAGAAGGTGATACCTTTCAAAAACAAAGGCAAAACAATGTGCTTTTACAGATACCCAAAGGCTGAAATAATTCATTATGAGCACATCCTCACTACAAAAATGTTAGAAAATCTTTGAAAAAGAAACACAAGACAGAAATCTGGATTTGCAAAAAGAAATCAAGAGCACCAGTGAAAAGATGATTCACTGTTTAAATAAAAACAAATTTTTGAGACAGAGTTTCATTCTGTTGCCCAGGCTGCTCTCAAATTTGCAAGCTCAAGCAATCCTTCAGCCTTAGCTTCCCAGGTAGATGGTACTAGAGGAGGTGTCACTATACCTGGAGCTAAATAAAAATCAATACTAATGTAACATCGTGATTTGCAATTAATGTAACAGTAAAACATGTGACCAAAATAGCACAAAAATCTACAGGTGGCAAAGTACAAAGGATACCATTGTAAATCCCATACTGTAAGGGAAGTGATACAAATCAGTAGAATGTAGCCATAATAAGTAAAGATACACATTATAAGTCCCAGATCAACTACCACAACAAGGTAGCAAAGGTTGGCAAAAAAAAAGAATCATAAGAATTATTCAATTAATCCAAAAGAAAACAGAAAGATAAAAGGAAATAAAGAAAATAGGAGATAAATAGAAAATAAATGGCCAAATTCTAAATTTAAATCTAATTATACAAATAAATGCATTAAACATAAGTGGTCTAAATATCCCAGTTAAAAGTTAGAGACTGTTAGACCAGACAGAAAAGACTTTCCTATATGTTTCCTTTAAAAAAAGAAAGAAAATAACCACAAATGTAAGGAAATATTTCTTATCTGAGTTAGGTAAAATGTTTTCTTTTAGGGTAAAGCATAAAAAGCATAATTCATAAAAGAACAAATTAATAAATTAAAAACTTATGCTTTTTGAAAGACACTGTTAAAAGAATGAAAACTTAAGCCAACAATGGCAAAACCTATTTTAAATAATAACTTTAATAAAGGGTTTGTATCCAGAATATAGAAAGAATGACCAGAACACAATCATAAAGCAAAAAACCTCATACGGCAGTGGTCAAATGGTTTGCATACACACTTAAAAGAAGGACGCTATGGTCCATGAATGACAAATACATGCAGGAAAATGGCTCAGCATCCTGTGTCATTAGGAGAATGCAATCTTTAAACCACAATAAGATATCCCAAGCATATTAAAATAAATACCATTAAAAAGCCTAGGTGGGAAATAGTGAGACAGAGCTTTTGCAAAGGGGGAGGAGATCAAGAGAGGGAGGGAAGGCTGGGAGGGAGGGAGTGAAAACAGCATCAAGACAGGCTGTGGACAGGCACAGACTCCTCAGGAGGAATGTCATCTTCATGAGCGGCAAACATGTGCTAATAAAACACTTTATAAAAAAGCCTAAAGATGTTAAGGATTTAGCAAAAATGGAGCTCCTGTGCCCTGTTGAGAACATAAAACTGTACAAGTACACAGAAAAAGCTTAACTTTCTAAGAAACTGCCATACACCCAACACCTCACCCGCTCCTGGGTTTCTACCGAAGAGAAAGGAAAGCCTAGTACGTGCATACAGAGACGTTTACACAGATGTTTTCAGCAGATGCATTTTTTAACAGCCCAAACGGCACACAACACACAAGCTCCCAACAGGCTCCTGAGGAAATGCACTGTGGTTTATCCATGCAATCCCCTGCACTCAGTAATAAAAACGAATGAATTACGGATATGTGCGAGAGTATGGATACATGGTCAGTGACTATGCTGAGTGAAATGAAGCAGGCTGGACATATATAATTCCACCTCCACAAAGGTTAAGGACACTTAGCTGTAGACACGGAAGGCAGTGAGTGGCTGCAAAAGGCCAAAGGGGTCAGTGAGACACCAGGGAAGGAAGATAAGGAGGGAGGGGGGCTGGGGATTTAGCTCAGCGGCAAAAGCGCTTGCCTGGCAAGTGCAAGGTCGTGAGTTCGGTTCCTGGTACCAGAGAAAAACCAAAAAAACTGGAGATGTAGCTTAGTGTAAAGGCTGTAGGTTTAATCCCCTGTACCACACACAAAAAAAAAAAAAAAAAAAAAAGATAAGGAGGGAGGCACACAGCGGTTCTGGGGGCGAGGCCCAGCTCTGTGTCTTCATTATGCTGTTGATTTAATGGGTGCGTGTGTGCACACACGCGTGCACATCAAGGTGGAAATCACGGTCTTCCAACGCTCAGTTAATCATCTACAACTCACACCTCAAGAGGGCTGTTAAAAGCAAAGATAGGACCATTGTCTATAGGAGATTTAATAGTTATTTAAACAGAACGTATGCGCAAACTTCAGTTAAGGAGAAGATGGTATGAAGTGTCTCATACAAAGAAACAGGATAACATGGGCCAGTGGTTCTCAAACTTTCCAAGGAACCTGGAATGAGCATAAAAACGTACAATGTTGGGCCAAAAGCTGAGTCTCTGACTCAGGGGGTCTGTGACAGGACTTAGGGATTTGTGGTTTTAGTAAGTTCTCAGTTAATGTTGACAATGCTGGTCCCAAGAGCACAATTTTAGAATCACTGATAGACAAGGGGTGATTAAAAGATATAGTGAATGTTTAAATTATAAAAAAATTATAGTAAAAGAATCATCACCAAGAACAGTGGGATAAATGGACCCAAAGCAGGGCAGGGTATTCTGAGGGGGAATTGTGGCAATGTGTCTTTTACTGTAATAATTTTTGTAATATAAACCTTTATTGTATTTTATGATTACATTTTGTTCCTTAAATGTTTACAGCAATTTTTGTCAAATGAAAGCATTATAGCGTGTCCTTATCTACTTATTCACTGAATCTGGCATTACGTGGCTTCTGGCTCTTCCCCAAAGTCAAAATGACCATAAAAGGTAAGT